GCGCAAGAGAGAGAGAGAGAGAGAGAGAGAGAGAGAGAGAGAGAGAGAGAGAGAGAGAGAGAGAGAGAAAGAGAGAGAGAGAGAGAAACCCGACCATCCCCCCACCATCAGGTGTACTATCTGTTCCAGTTTCATATCTGATCCGTCGTCGATCGAGAACTCCAAAAAAGAAGGGAAAAGAAAACGGAAAATCCGTTCGCATACTGATCAGTTCAATGGAGGAAAAAAAAACAAGGGAAGCATGAGCGATTTTGGAAATAAAAGAAACTGGAAAAACATGTGATTTCGGGAAAAAAAAGGTAAAGGGAAGTGGGCGCGTGCACGCACGCAACCGCGAGAGGTAAGACGCAGAGAGAGAAAGGGAGAGCGAGAGAGAGAGGGAAGCCAACTTCTTGGCAAACTTTTCATTTTTATTGCGGGCGTAGCCGCAACAGGTCCCCTAGTTGTATTATTATTTCTTGTGTGAATAAGAGAAGGGGGAGATAAGGAGGAGGAGATTGTTAGGCGAAGAAGAAGAGCCTTGTCATTATCTTTGTTGGTGTACGTCTTCTTCTTCTTCCTTCTTACTTCTTCTTCTTCTTCTACTCCTCTCTCTCCTCTCAAGTTCATTCATTTCTTTCTGCAATTGGATGGCATTGTACTTTTCAGTGGATGTGTATCTTGCAACTGGCCAGGGTCATAACATTGGTATCAGAGCGGATTCTACTTGCTGGTGAGAGTTGACTTTGCTACCCTAACCCTAACCTAAGTGGTTGAGGGCAACACTTAGGGTTAGGGTTGGTTGGTTGAGGGAAGTGGGGCAGCGTGGCTAAGGGAAGCTGCCCCCACCTGGTTAGGTCATGTGGGGTCAACATAGAACCTAACTAGGTTGCTTGAGAAGGGGGGTGGGTTCTCTTCATCTCGAAGCTCAAGGCCACTCAGGTAAGTGTCGTGGACCTACGGGGTGCCCATGTATGTGTGTATGGTTTTGATTGTCCTGCAGGGGTACTATGGGTTTCTTTTCCTACTCCTCTGTGGTCTTGATTGTGTGACTGAATGCATGTGATCTACGTACTCACCTGATGGATGGAAAATGAAGTATCTTGTTATATATGTCGAGTCTTTCTACAGTGCTTTGTCTTTTCATTGCTGAACGGTTGTAGTCTGTAGGTTCTGCCAGAAGTTGAAATTTCGTTTTTCAGTACAGTAGAGATTGAACTAAGTTCAGGAGGGACTCCTCTTGGTTGGGACCTGGTTGAGGGGACCGGGCCCAAACAAGGAGAGCCTCTGGACCCAAATCGGTTAGGCATTGACCTCCTGTCTTCTTGGCTGGGATACGAGTTCATTCTTCTTGGATTAGGACACCCACTGTCGAGGGGATCTTGGCTTTGACGTTTCGCATGTCTTCTGATTGCACTGTCCGTGGCTTGACTCGCACCCTGTACACCACTCAATTCTCCATTGTTGCAGTTAGTTACTTGTTGTCTGATTTGTTGTACGAACACGGAGCTGGTCAGACTGGACTCAAGAGGACCTCGTATGCAGTCTGATCAGACTGGGTCGCTGGATTAGACCTCTCATTGAGATTGTTTTGTTTCTTCTGCTGCTCTCTACTTCCAAATGAAATGCCGCTCCGGCTAGGAGTTTTACCTTCTCTTCTCTGAGCTTTATCTGTTTTTTTGAGTTCATTTCCGATGCCCGTGGAGACTCGCAATCTGAAAGAAGAGAGAAAGAGTAGGGAGAGAGAACAGGGAGAGAGGGAAAGCTATAGTCTGAAGTGCGCAAGGACTGGGAAAATGAGTGTTCGTCAAAGCGTGAGGGGGAGTGAACCTCTTGAGAGTCTGATTGATTCTTTTGCTGACTGGCGACTTTCCGATCCACCTGTCCATACTGACAGTCCGAAAATGGCCCAGCTAACTTCAACGCAATGGCGGGCCTTGTTAGATGCAGCCAGTGATGCTGAGAAACCTTATCTGCAAGCACTCTTAGACAGTGCAATCAAAAGAGAACAGGAGTCGGAGAAGGAGAGGAAGGAGACCCTGCTGAGAAGGCAAGTGGCCCTCCTAGAGATTGTCCCCTCACTGACTGAAGTGCAGTGTGGGGAACAGTTGCAGTCCATACTTACAGCCTTTGTTCAGGTCTGGAATCTTGAGGACCATACCACTCAGATCGCTGAAGTCTTTGCAAAGTTGCAGACTCTTCAAGATGATCTGACTGATATGACCCGCAAGTACCATGACTTGACAAAGGAGGTGGCTGACCTGCGACAAGCCCAAGTGGCCAACCCTCTTCCTCTACCTCCTGGATTTGAAGCTGCAATCGAAACAACCTCTGCCCCTCTTACTGTATTTTTTTCTACCTCCTCTTCAAGTGTGATGGCAACCCCCTCGGGACCTGCAGCAGGTGCAGATTCCACTATCGCTGTAACAAGCAATGAGGCTGGAACTTCTGCAACTACTGCAGCCCCAAGGCCGGAGCCAGCTGCTGCTGGTCCCAGCTACGCCAGTCCTTACGTGGACCGGAAGGCGGTACAAATGTCGTCCAAGTACGACAGCAAGGAAGACATCGAGTCCTGGATCGGCTCCATGAGGGCCTACTTTGATATTCTGGGAACTCAACCTGAGAGCCAGGCGGTGATCATGGGAATGAATGTCGAGCCAGTCGTACGGGGCTTCCTAGAAGTCCAAGCGACACGGGCTAGGTTCCCAAAGGCTGCACTAGCCAAATGGCTAAGGACCACCCCGGTTGCCTCCCTCGAAGATCTCCTTATCTCACAATACCAAGACCCACATGTTGCTGCTAAAGCAAGGATTCAACTTGACAAAGTAAAGCACAGCAAGTGGAATGGCTCCATGAAAAGCCTGCAGAACTATCTAAGCAAGACGTTTGTCACTCCTAGTTTGGAATTGTCCGCTCGCTCAATCTTGCTTGGATGTGGTTAAGGGCGCGGTTCCAACCAACCTCACTAGTCGTCTGGGCAGGGACTACATTGCATACACTGACTGGCTCGCCTTAATGAAGGACGTAGTCAGTCTGGAGGCTATGGACCTCATTAGCACGGCAGGCAACAAAAAGCGCATTGGCGGCAAACGGTTCAAGGGCACCAACCGTTTTGTTGTGCATGACCTGTTGGAGGCCGAAGAAGAAGCCGATGCGTATGACCCCACTCTTGGGGACGACCAAGAACAGGACTCCGATACAGCTTGTTCTTCAGCGCATGAGTCCGACGCAAATAAAGAAGAAGAATTTTTTTCTGCCTTTAAAAAGACTGCCAACACTTAGGGACCGAATCGGAGTGCCGGGAAAAGTTATGTCCAACTTCCCAAAGGAGTTAAGATCCCGCCTAAACCGGAGGACGCAACTACCAAACCTTGGGTTGACCTCCGGATCACTGAAAATGACTGGCGGGGCAGACTCAAGAAAGGGGTTTGCCTGCATTGCCAAAAACTTAATCATAAGGTTCAGGACTGTTATAGGCTGCAGGGAAACCACAATCGGGCGCAGAGTCAGACTCAGCAAACTCTATAGCAAGGGAGTCCGGTTCTGTTGAGGATCAGCAACCCTCCCTTGAAGCCCAACCATCTGCTGAAGACAAGGCTGAGGTAAGTAATATCTTGAATGTCGAGCCTTGGGAGGAGTCCGAGATGGTTGACTTCCACTACCACTTGGAGCATTGGGCTGAGATGAAATAGCAGCCTGCCCAAGGAACAGTGAAGTTGATCTTCTTTAAACTTCTCATAAACCACCGCTATCTCCGTGTGCTGGTTGACTGTGGTGCTACAACTAATTTCATGTCACCGCATGGGATACGCAAGGTGGGCTTGGGGATGAAGCAAGTGGCCCTGCAGAACCCTTGCCGGACCCAAGTTGGCAACAAGGAAGTTGTCTCTTCTACACATGCAGTCAAAGGTTTGCGCACTACCTTTGACAAAGGTAAGACTGTCACCCACGCATTGAACTTCTTTGTCCTTGACAAGTGCCCCTTCGACGCTGTCCTCGGCTTGGGCTGGCTGCAGTCCCAATGCGAATGGACCAAGTGGAAGGAATCACTCTTCATGGTCAAAGATGCTCAAGGGAACGAGCTTCCTGTCCTCTTGGATGAGAAGCACGAAATCCCCAGTGACCTTTCTAAATGCTATGCAGTTCTGCAAGAAATGGCGCAAGCGCAAGAAGGAAGAACAGTTGTATGTTGCCTTTGTTCGTCCTGCTCATGTGCCTTCTCCTTTTGCGGCTAGTACCACTACTACTTTGATTAATGATCCTACTTCTAGTACTTCTACTGCTAGCACCTCTACCTCTCTACCCTCTAATAGTCCAAATGATCCTACTTTAGATTCGGTCGTCTCTATACGCGACTTGCGACCGGACTTTGGTTACCCCTTTGCTGATTCCCCACCCCCACCTGTCCCATCAGACATCCAAGCCCTCCTCGATCGGTTTCCGGAAGTCTTGGCCGAACCACGTGGAGTCCCCACGCGACCGGTTCGACACACCATCGAGTTGGTCGAGGGTGCGGTTCCTCCAAAGGGCTGCGTGTACCGTATGGGACCCGGCGAGTTGGAGGAACTCCGGCAACAGATCGATGAGATGATTGACAAAGGTTGGATCAAACCAAGTGAATCTGAATTTGGTGCTCCCGTGTTGTTTGTGCCAAAGAAAGGAGGCAAAATCCGCATGTGTATTGACTATCGCGGTCTAAACCGCATCACAAGAAAGAATGCTTACCCATTGCCCCGTATAGATAACTTGCTTGATGTCGCAGGCGGGTGCAAGGTCGTCTCCAAGATCGATCTCAAGTCTGGCTACCACCAGATTGAAGTCGATCCTGCGGACCAGCACAAGACTGCGTTCAAAACGCGCGACGGGCTTTATGAGTTCACCGTAATGCCCTTCGGTCTTACGAACGCACCAGCCACGTTCCAAAGCCTTATGGACAAGGTCCTCCGCAAACAGATTGGCCGGTTTGTGGTAGTGTACCTGGATGATATTCTGATCTTCAGCAAGTCCATGGAGGAACACCTCAAGCATCTTGAGGAGGTGCTCGCTATCCTCAAGAAGATGCAGCTCCATCTCAACTTGGAGAAATCTGAGTTTGGGAAGGATAGCGTCATCTATCTTGGGCACCGGTTGTTTGCTGCAGGCCTAGAGCCTGAGGCAACCAAGATTGAGGTCATACGCAATTGGCCTTAGCCTGCAAACATTCGCGAATTGCGTTCTTTCCTTGGTCTCGCGTCGTACTATCGGAAGTTTGTGCCCCGTTTCTCCATCATTGCTCGACCATTGTCGCGACTAACCAGTAAGAATGTGTCTTATTCTTGGGATGCCGCGTGTACGGAAGCTTTTCAAGCTCGTAAGTTACCCGGTCCTCCGCATTGCAGATCCCAAACTGACATTCGTAGTCACTATGGATGCAAATCAGTATGGCATCGGTGCAGTGCTGCAACAAGATGACGGCGATGGCTTGCGGCCACTCGAATACTACAGCAAACGAATGCCCAGCGTAAAGGTAGCCACTTCCACCTACATGTGCGAGCTTTACGCTTTGCGTATGGCGTTGGATCACTGGAAACATTATCTTTTGGGACGCCACTTAGTCTTCTCAGATCATGAAACCTTGAAGTGGATCAAACAGCAAACAACTTTGTCCCCTACCTTGCTTCGCTGGTTTCATGAGATTGACATCTTCGACTTTGAACTCAGACACAAAAAGGGTTGTTACAATCGAGTCGCTGACGCATTGTCTCGCCACCCTGAGTACATGACTTGCCTTGTGAAATCCTACGACCTTCGAAAGAAACTGAAGGAGGAGCTCATAGAGCAGACAGCCAAGGATCCGGAACTCAGTTCCATCCTTGAGCAGCTGCGGGCTGATCCTAGTAGTCAGCTTGATGTCCACGAGTATGGAGGACTGATTTTTCGCCGTTACGGGAACCATGACCGTTTGTGTGTACCCAACCATGATCCTCTCCGCACACACTTTCTGGACTTGGCTCATGGCCGGAGCGGGCACTTCGGCATGGCAAAAACGTACGCTAACCTGCTGAGACCGTTTGATTGGCCTGGCATGAAAGGGACTGCTGAGAAATTTGTGGCTGAATGTCAGGTCTGCCAACGAATCAAACCTTGCAGACAAAAGCCCATGGGGCTACTCACACCCCTACCCATTCCTAATGGTCCCGGGGAGTCTGTCTCCATCGACTTCACTGACATGGGTAAGGTAAGCAAGAACGGGTATTCACAAGTCATGGTGATTGTTGACCGATTTTCAAATTTTCTCAATCTGATTCCTTTGCCTCCCCGCGCCCCAACAGATCTAGTGATTCGCGAATTCCAGTAGAAATATCTGCTGCAATTTGGAACCCCGAAGACTCTTGTGAGCGATCGGGATCCGCGTTTCATTACGATTGAATGGAAGGACTTCATGTCCCACCTAGGAATCAAAATGTGCATGACATCTGACCGACACCCCGAAGCCAACGGTTTGGCTGAGGAGATCAACCAGACTGTTTTCTAACTTCTCCACGCGTTGATTATTTCGGACCAGGAGACCTGGGATGAGGAGCTGTATTCTGTCAAGGGGTTATATAACAACTTCGTCCATTCTGCCACCGCCACGACACCCAACAGGCTGCACTACGGGTGGAAGATCCGTAATCCGCTCTCCTACTGATTCCCTGAGCAGCTAGCTGGCTTAACACCCGGCAGGCCCGGCTTCAGGGCTAAGTATGATCGCTTGCTCAAAGTTGCTGTTGCAGCTATGGCCAAGCGACAGCATGCCATGATCCACCATGCGAACAAAAAGCGCAAACCATCAGAGATTCAAGTAGGAAGCTATGTCTGGGTGAAGATGTCTGAATTCTCAAAGGAGGAGGGAGTCTCACGCAAACTCCTCCCACTCTACTATGGGCCTTGGGAAGTTTTGGATGTAATTGGGGAAGATCACTTTGGCTCTTCGTACGTTGTAGACGTGCCAGCTCACCTGCGCACATATCCCGTGTTTCATGCATCTAAACTGAATCTCCACCGTGACGCCGAGACATTCGATTACCGCGAAGATATGATCCCTCGCGCAATCAAGGGCGGGCATGAGATAGATAGAATCAAACAGCATGTAGGTAAGGGGAGAAACAGACAGTACCAGGTTCATTTCATGTATCACCCGCTAGATGATCTGTACTGGATCTCCAAACAGGAATTGCTACGCAGCGCACCGCGTGTTGTTAAAGCCTACGAGCGACAAATCGCTGCTAATGCCACACCCAAGATCTCAGCAAGACTCACTGCGACAGGAATCTCTTTGCCTTGCTCGCCTACGATGCGTTTGTCGAGGACTCGGAGTGAGTTACTCGCTTGAAGGGACCTCGCTCTTGAGGGGGGGTTAGTGTGATAACACGTCCAAACCTGGACTGAATGCCCTACTGAGTTCCCCGCCTACTGAGTCTATGTGCGTGTGTGTTTGCTGGACTGCATGTTTGTCTGAGTGCTGGTTGGCTTGCGTGTGTGACTGTGCCTGTCTGAGTGCTGGTTGGTATGGGTGTGTGTGTGTGTAGCCCGCCAGGGCACTTGGCCGTGGCTTTGAAGGGTTGTAGCAAGGGAAAAGGCACTCAAGTAGCGGGTAGGCCGGTACCGCACCCGGTAGGGGGGTAAATATGCAGGTACCAGAGGCCGAGCAAAAGAAGACGAAAGTGGCATTTTTAGAGGCCGGTAGTGTAGGCTAGGTCTAGCGGGTACCAGTCTGAGTCTAGGGCTTGTAGGGGCAATATCAGAGTTTCCAAAAGAGGAGGAGGTACCGATTGCTTGGGAAGGCCAGCGGCCTGGAAGTCACCGCCCAAGAGGCAAGCAGGCCGCTATATCTTCTGGCCGGGCGGAAGACCTGGCCTCTTTTTCGGTGTGCAAGTTTGGCGACACAGTGGTGGAGCGCTGGAGGGAGCAGCGCTGGGCTGGAGCTGTGCTGCTGGGGAGGAAGAAGAAGGACTAGGAGGAGGAAGGAGGAGGAAGGAAGGAGGAAGGGGGAGGAGCGCCAGGGGTACTTACCTGGCTATGGTGGCAGCCATCTTCATCACCTTGGTGGGCGCTGCAGCAAGGAGTCCCCAGTCGGGGGGAGCTACACCAAGGAGCTTCAAGGCAGGGCTGGGCATGGCCGCCTGAGCTGGAGCAGCCATAGCTGCTTTGGGTTGTCCTTTGGACATCGGAGCAAGACCTAGTAGTCCGCAATAGCCTCGGCCTATGAGTGTGAAGAGTGGGGTAGACGGCCATGGCTATGGTGGACCATGAGTGATACCTGCAGTAGAAAAGGGACTCAGACATGATTCTGGACCAGTCATTCAACATTGTATTATTATTTCTTGTGTGAATAAGAGAAGGGGGAGATTGTTAGGTGAAGAAGAAGAGCCTTGTCATTATCTTTGCTGGTGTACATCTTCTTCTTCTTCCTTCTTACTTCTTCTTCTTCTTCTACTCCTCTCTCTCCTCTCAAGTTCATTCATGTCTTTCTGCAATTGGATGGCATTGTACTTTTTAGTGGATGTGTATCTCGCAATTGGCCAGGGTCATAACACGTACCTTGGACTAAAATATTCTCGGAGGACCTCGAATTTAGGACGGCGGGAGTGAAACGGTTTTCACCTTTTTGCAGTAGTAGACGCAGATCCCAGGGCTCGATCCCTAGTCCCCACCTTACCTGTGTACAGTACGTGTGTTGACCCGTAGAGCTGAACCCACGACCTGTGTATTTGTAACATTTGGTAGGTTGTCGTAGGTTGTAGGGGTTCGATCTGTAGGTCTGTCGAATAGAAGTCTTAGTGAAGTCTAGAAGTCTTAGTTGTAGCCTTCTAGAAGGTTGGCAAGTGGACAAGTGGTGAGTCAAGTGGTGGACCAGCTGTAGTACTTTCGCAGTACGGTAGCAGTAGGATAGCAGTGAGTCCCCATTCAGTCAGCGGTAAGGTCCAGTCAGTCCCAGTCCGGTCCAGCAAGTACCACATGGGACTGTGAGTACCAAGGGCCGATGGAAAAGGGCAGACCAACGAGATTCAGAAGTATAAATCAAGAAGCAGCGCCCAGCCATTCATTTTGCATTCATGCGTGAGCCATGCGGAAGCGCTGCCACAACGACTTGTGCAAGGAGGTCTGCAGTGAGCCCGCTGAAGTGGGCGAGAGAGAAGGAGCGTAGCATAGTGATAGGGTAGTTGAGGCCATAGCCGCCATAGCTAGAGTCAGTGTGTAGCATGTGTGTGTGTGTGAGTGTTCAGAGAGACGCGTGTGGGATATCCAGGGTGATCCGGTGTATGCGAACAGAGAGTTGTTTGGGCGCTGAGTCGCCATAGCCATTGAGAGTGAACTTGTATATGGACTGTGTTTTCGGCGACCATATCTCTGAGTTTTGAGTAGGCGCATGTCGCGAGTTTGCTGCGCTATGGTTTGCATGCATGTAAAGAGTGAAAGAAAGCGAGTGTGATTGCAGCGTTCGAAAAAAAAAAAAAAAAAACAGGCCGCGGATTAGGCCTCATCGGCCGCGGCCGCGACCGAAATACCCGCGGCCTAGGCCGCGGGTGTCACATAGCCTGCACCAATCCGGACTGTGGACCCTGTGGCGCAGGCTGCTGCACTAGCTGCAAGGGCTGTGTACCCTGCGACTGTACAGGCTGTGAGACAGCAGGTTGCGTTGTAACTGCAATCTGCAACGGAGGCTGGGAATACACTGGCTGTACAGGAACCTGCAAACTAGGACCTGCTGAGAACCCGCCTGTCAAGGGCATACCCAGGGAAACGGGCTGGACTGATGCTGGAGCTGTATATGGGGATACCCCAGTTACCGGTGGGACAAAAGGAGGAGGTTGTGCAACGGGCCAGGCACCTGGTCCGGAAGGCGATGGCGCAGCCTGCGCTCGTTCGACCAATACGGCCGGACTTTGCTGAATGTCTTGAAGGAGAGCCATTTGGTGGTCCTGCATTTCTACTACATCTAGCAGGATGGACCGTATGGTCCACACATCGTCACTCGTGTGCGTCAGGTCCATCTCCTCTAACTCACTAACATCCGCTTGCCTCCGCTGCATCCTGGCTCTTCTTCTAATCATTTTCTCTTTCTCTGCCTTAATCTCTGCCAATGCCTGCTGTAGCTGTGCTGCTGCTCGCTGCATGGCGACCTCCTCGGGGGTCAACACAATTGG